TTATTCATTGTTATTTATATGTACTAATTATATCTTTATATAGGGGTTATGTGAACAATATACATGTGTATAAGTACCTACAAAGTAAAGGTACCTATCATTAGAAGATTTGTTATGATAATTACGAAGACATTCAGACATTGGGCATTCGTGATTATTAATACATATTAAAATAACTACTATTATACTATATACTAACTACATATTATAGTTACACACTTATTGGTTTTCAGACGTTTTTTATAGGAGAGGGGGCAAACGAGCATGCGGCTAAGTGACTACCGCCGCCCATGAACAACTGCAACACCAGGGGAACCAGGGGAATTGCAGATATATGAATACTCTGCAAGTGATACAAACTAGATTGCGTCTAACCTTATTTATTTAATAGAATCTATATGGTGATTTCAGAAAAATAATTTTCTTAACTTATTTCAAAATAAGTAACTAAGTACATATTTAAGAGGATTGTGAAGTGCCGGTACGCGGCGCGAGTAGCTATTTTCAAGAATGCTATCTGTTTCATACCACTCGGTCCATAACCCCGTATCGTGTGATACAGAGAGTTGCAATTCTTGGAGGCAATTGCCTACATTTCCTTTTTAGGGTTCTGTGCGATGCGTGTAGAACTGGGAAATCTCACGTACTGGCACATAAGTAGAGTCACGTAAAGCACAGCAAGTGTAATGTAATAACGTCATTACATCTCTTACCTTTACTTCACCGGCTCAGCTCACATCGGCATCACCCTTCTTCTTTGGTTGATTCCGGGCATTACTCAGAGAGAAAACAGTGGCAAAGGTACCTACTTTACGGTACGAACTTTGGTACGAATCTTAGACTGGACTCAAACATCCGGAATGCCTCTCTGAATTCATATTATTAATTAAGAAAGCCCAGAATTGCTTACAATCTGGGCACGGTAGTGCCCCCGCCAAGTCGCGCATAAAAGCGGCACGGCCGTACCATCCTCTTCTCGAAGCAGTTCAGGCCATTTTCGACCCCCTATAACTTCGTTGTGGATAAAACTAGAAGCCTGAATTTTCAGTAACCAAGCATGCATTATATAAACACGGTATATTTCAAATTTCATTCAGTTTGAACCAGTAGTTAAAGAATTATAACTAGTCAGTTTCTTAATTTTGTCACTCACTGACTGACCGATCATCAAAACTCTAAGGCACTTCTAGCAGACGTAGAAGCTTCAAATCTATACTCTATACAAATAAAAAAAAATTGAAGTGTCTGTTTGTAATGTCAAAATAACAGCTTTTAACTAAATGCATATGAACGTGTATACGGTACTTATAACAAAAACACAATTTTTAAAATTTTTGTCTGTCTGTCGGTCTGTATGTTTGTTTCGGCTAATCTCCGAAACGGTTGGACCGATTTTGACGGGTCTTTATTTGGCAAATAGCTGATTTCATAAGGAGTAACTTACTTTTATTTAGAACTACTTTTATTTTACTTTTATTTTAGAAAAAGAATTAGGGTTCCGCGCATAAACATAAAAACCCTATTACGCGAGCGAAGTCGCGGGGAACAGCTAGTTTAGAATACAATTAGTGTTTAGTGTATAAATTAAGGAAAAACTAAAATATTTAGTAATTTCGGTCCAGTTTTCTAGATACACCAACTGCATAAATGAATTTGTAATCCTATATAAATATATAGGATTACAAAGTTACATTTGCAGTGAATGAACAGTGTACCTGTATATGTATAATGGAATAATAGATGTAGATAGGTATCTACATATAATTATGTTCAAAGGTATCCTGTAAAATGGTCAACGGAATGAAAAAGCAAGAATGGGACATGTCTTATGAAGTTGTACCAAAATCCCGCGAAGTATTAAGTAGACGGATTTTCGGATTTTTAAGTAGATCAATTTGCCCGAAAATTCGTAGTTGGTATTCAAGTAGTCGATGGTACCAGAAAGGAAAAAAAGTAGGAATATCTACAAAAAGAAATGAGATGCCATCAAAAGATAGCTTGTAAAAAAACCAAGTCTCGCAACTCAGTTCTTCTACCGTAAAAAGTTGTGAGATCCATGTAATATCAAATCGGTTAATTTATTCAGTCCCTACTTAAGGGTCCTTCTGTCTCAAGTTATTACGTAATTAGCTAACCTAACAACATCATATAGTGACCATATCAATATTAAAAATCTTTTATATTTTAAATACATAGATTGACTTGGCCATCGCATGAAAACACAATGTATCTCGCAAGTAATACATATTATATTAAATTAAATTGTTTAGTGCGATTTATTTATTAGAGTATTTAGTGCGCGCACACCGAAACCTAAAACTTCAGTTGGTTCAGTCTGTCAACTGTCAAGTTTTCGTGAGAACTGATAACTATATTCATGTTAGTTATTCAAATATGTATGAATCTATACAACGTGTTTTATTGTAGATTTTTTTTGTTAGGCTAAAAAAGTATAACGTCTTACGTGCGTACATAAGAACACACACACGATTTTTTTATGTAGAAGAAAGGGCAAACGAGCATGCGGCTCACCTGATGGTGACTACCGCCGCCCATGAACAACCGCCACACCTGGAGAATTGCAGAACACAGAAGTTGTAATGTAAAACTGACTTTCCCTTACTCTGTTCACATTAAGAGGATGAATCCAGTGTATTCGTTTGCGTCTTTTTTATTAATAATTAAAACTAAGAGTAGAGTAGAGAGTAGTACAACGCCTGACCCCAGAAACACGAGACCACTGATTTATCTGAATTTTTAAAATATGTGTGAGGCAGTTTGCCGGAATTCAAATTATGAATTCAGACTCTGAATTAGGAGAGGTATACCGGATGTGTGAGCCCAGCCTTAGGCGTATGATCCACAACACGAGAATAACATACCAGTACAGTATTTAAATTAAATTGGAACTCTTTAAATAAATAAACAAAATAAAAAGTTTTTACAAAGTTAAAATTAGAGTTTTTTATAAAACCTAAAAATATAGGTATTCTCTTAAGTAGATGTATATATTCTTCTAGGGGAATTAAATAATTTACAGAAACCAGTGATTTAAGATTTATTTTCAGTAGTCCTAAATAATCACGACTTAATACTAGGTCCTACACACATAAATTATGTTACATTACATACGAGCATTTCTAGTTCTATATCTCCGAGTCTTTTCACTAATTATTTAAATTGAAATTTAGGTACAATGGCATTTAAAAAACACATTTAGTACAAAATTGTAATGTTTATTATAATTACATAGGTATTTTTGGTACCTACATTAGTATTATATTTTAGAATAATTTCGCAATAATACAATTTAGTTAATGAGTTTTAAATAATACACCAATTTAAAATAATAAACTGAGCAAGCTGAGTTTTTTCGTTATAACTGTTATTCTAAGGTTAACTCATTACTCTATGGGTTAAACTGTATAAGTTCAGGCAAGGGCTATTATTATGATTATATTAACTGTGTGCTGTATCATTTTTGAATACATCACTGGCCGCGATAGTGGTCACTCTCACACTGGCTTTTATGCAAAAAAAAATTAATATACGATATCAGAATCACAGAGGTTGACGGAAAAATAAAAATAACTGTTTTGTATTTTGCCAACAATTATAACAGTAAACAACACACACTCACGCCAGTCAACCAGAGGGGTAGGCAGAGACTACGGACTTCCATTTGGCGCGATCCTGACACACCTCTCTCGCAACACTGAATTCAAAATGTTATCACTCTCCTATTTTAGGTATTTAGCTTTAATTTGTGCGTACCTACATTAAAAGCTTATTAACTTGTAACAAATATTGTTCTTTGCCAAATTTTTTATCATTTTATTGCAAAAATTATCCGGGTGCAGGGATAAAATATATCAAGTTTATATTAACAAACTGTAAAAATCGATAATTATATTATTAAATATGACTTGTACAGTAACCCATTTTTTTAATAAATAGGTCTAATACCTCAAGGATGGTCTCGTGTACATTTACATGAGACCACTCTTTTATTTGTTTTTTATTATGTATATGTATCAAAAAATATCAATCATTTAAAAAAATACTTAAGTGTAAATTTTTAGATATCTACGTTTTTGAGTAGAATACAACTTTTTTATCACTATCAATGGTATTGTGTTACAACAAGGGTTGCCACCCGTACTATAATGTATATTATCGGAGTATATTTCAGGCAATTGTACTATATATTATAGAAAAATAATATAGTACGAAAAATACCATATTTTTATCCCTAATTCAACTGTCGCGATTTTTTATATTAACTAACTGGAAGTCTGGAACAAGTAAGTTTTACGGAAATATTTTATTCCGTCATGAATAGAATAAAGAAAAAAATTGATGATAAATTTAATTAAAAATGTATTCTTAATTTATTATAATATGAATCTAAATTGCTCAGATTCCTATAATTATTTTAAAGAAAAAAAATTGATGGCCAAAGAGAAGATTATGGGAAAAATGTATATAGATTAAAAATAAATATGTACTTTTTTTCCTGAATTCCCCAAAGGTTTATTATATTTTTGCATGTTTTTAGGGAAAACTACTATATTTCTTCAAAAAAAAAAGGTGGCAACCCTAGTTACAACCCTCATGAAATCTATATATCCTGTAAGTTTTTACAGGATATATAGATTTTAGAAGGGTTACCAAAATACAAAATTTTTATAAGTATATGAAATTGCCTACAGTGAAAAAATTTTAAAATATATCCTTTATATATATTGATATTCTTAATTTTTTTATTGCTGCGACACAGTCAGACACAGTGAATTACCTTGATAAAGATATAGCTAACTATCTTGTTAATTAATCAAAGGCTTATCACCAAAATGAGAATACTGGTCACAGATATATAGATTATTACAATGTTATAGTAGAATGTTTTGCTTTATCATTTGTTACATATTATGTATTACAAAATATTTTTTTTATATTATTGATTGTCACTAAGCTCATAAATAGATCTTCTAGTTTTGTCATGTGTTAATGCTATGATGTTCCTTTTCATTATTTTTTCCATTTAATTCAACAGTCTCTGGTGAAGAATCTTTAACAACTTCATGCATTTTGTATGCATCAGGTCCCACTAATGAAAGAATTACTGGTAAAAATACCAAACCATTGAATAAACCAAATAGGATAACAAGTAGAAAAATCTTGAAAAATGACTGGAAGGTATAAGCTTTAGACATACTCAAAAGAGATAAAGAGAGAAGAGTAGATCCACCACCTAATAAAACTGCTGAACCAATAGAAGTAACAGTTTTAAAGGCTCTATCATTGCGCGTGCCACTTGTGATTGTTAAGAATGTGTGACCAACATGAGCAGCATAATCTACACATAAACCAATTGCTAGTTCGAGGCCTATACAGCACACTATATCGACTGTCATACCCCACCTTTGCATCCATCCTAGAACATTTATTATAGTTAACAGTACACAAATAAATATCCACAAACACATTTGTAAGTTAGTTATAAGTATAATGGTACAAGCCATTACACACAACAAAGCTAATTCAATGTTCCTCTCTACCTCAACAGCTATTATTTCATCAGTTACCCAATTAGCAAATACTTTGGACCAAACACTGCGGTAACCATCTCCTGTAGATATGTTAGCAGATTTTACAATATTTTTAACATGATTCATTGCTGGTATATATTCCTCCGGGCCTCGAAATTTTTTAAGTTTAAATGACATAATAGAAGCCTCAATTTCACTAGCAGGGCTACCGCAAACTAAAGATTCTTGAAATTGAAAGCTAGCTTGAAACTTGCCACCAATAGGACTAAACAGAAATCTAGACAGATATCTGTTAAATTCAGTATTGGTAACAGAGGAATTTCTTAAATCATGATTATAATTTTTCAACACATATCCACAAAAGGGTTCCATCCATGTCTCCACATCCATAACATAGGAAGTATTGCTTAATTCATTTAGCATATTTATTATATTATTAAACTCGTAATTGTATTCCATTTTACCTAAAAACACCATAGCCACCTGGCCTTCTTCTGGGTAGTAGTGTTCATGTGTTGATAGAAATTCTTTATAATAAGAAGTTTCAGGAATAAACCATTTAGGATCAAACCTTTGTTCTAACTTCAGTGTTGATTGTATGCTAAAACAAGTCATAATTAATATAAATAATATCACAATTGTTTTACCCGGTTTAGTAAAAATTATTTTCTTATAAAAAGCAGACAAAAACTTGTGGATTTTTGTTTTGTCCTCTGCTACAGAAACTGGACTTTTATGTGTGTAACAAAATAATATACCATTTCTATTATCCTCTATTCTCCTTAAGTCTAATGAGAAAATTGCTACATAAAATGTTACAGAGTAACAGAAGATAAAGAACACACCTGCAGCACCATATATGCAAAACGATTTTAAGGAGGGCAAAATTGTTATGGCACCAATTAATAAGGCAACAACATCAGTAAATGATGTGATCACAATAGACACCCCTGCATGCTTTAACATAAGGCCCACTTTCACTGGAAAACTTTTTGTAGACTTTGTACTTGTGACCATTTTCCAGCAGGCATTCATCACAAACATGTCATCAATTCCTAGCCCCATTAAAAGAAATGGTAATGATGTATGAACAGGACCAAATGGCACTCCGAAGAGTGAACACCAACTAACTGCAGTTACATAAGCCATCCCTACACTCAATAAACCTACACCAGCTAGTGTTAATTTTATTTCTAGCCAATTAAACCTAGACACTGCTATAAGTGTATAAATAAACATCATTACAATACCAATAAACAATTTATCCATATCTTGGAACATGGTTTCTCCACTTACATCAGCAAAACTTCTGCCTGCCTCATAAAATAAGTTCACTCCTTTAACTACAGAAGTTAACTCTTTCATCTTCTTTAAAAATTCATTCTCCCACATGCTCAATGAAACTGATTGCCATTCTTCAGTACCTACTAAATTACCCACTTCATTCATTTCCTCGTCAGACATATTGACTTGTGTATACCAAGTAAATAACAATGCTTCTGCGGATACTATGTGCCCAGTGCTGTTATATTTTACACCACCTAATAACTTAGTATAATCTATAGGATGACCTGATAAGGGATTCACTTTCACTTGATTAACCGACGTAATAATATCATCTTTTGTTATATTGTTAATTACATCTGAATTACTCTTCCATATGTCTAAAACATTGTACTGAAGACAAGTTAATGCAAAATTATCTATAAACCCACAATAAAATTCATCATCAACCCATAGAGTTGGATCACTATATTCACTGTCACTTTTTTTATTTTTTGACACTGCCCTACGTGCCTTTACACCAGTTTCAGATCCACTTTTCGAATTTGTGCTATAAAAGTTTACAACAGGAACTTTGTAACAGAAATCTTCCATTGTATAAGTCTCAGATTTATAAGTTATAGTCAGAGAATTCACTTCATTTGTAATGTTTAGGATTGTTTTAAAAAGTTCTGGTTCCAGAACATTGTCTGCAGTCACAAGAATTTTCTGAAACCTAAATGTAGTTCCAAATTTATCTATATACCAATTGGTGTCCTTAAAAAAATCTGAATCAGGTGGTACCCAGAGTTTGAAGGGATTCTTTTCGATGTAAAATCTGAATAAACCAAAACAGCTTAAGAGCACAACAGCCCATGCTATTATTATTGTTCTCCATGGATGTTTCGCTATACCAACACCAAGTACGAAGAATATTCTTTCCACAAAATTAACGAAAACTGATGAAATATCTTCCCATAATTGTTGAAGAGACTGACAGCACTTCTTAATAGACATAGGTAAAATATACGATAACTTGTTTTAAGTAAGCAAAATACACTTTTAAATTTACTAAATTATTACACTATGCGAAACTTCATATACTAAAAATATATTCTATAAAAATATATAATCGTTGCGCTCTTTGTTGTATTAACGACATATTACAATCAGCGCCTAATGAACACTGACGTAGATAATTCAAATATAAGCGCTTTACTACCTCTATTTTAGCGGTCTACATACGCGCGATCACGACTTATTGTTCCTAATCTGACTGTATTGCGACTGCACTACTACTATACTTGAATGGAATAATTCGGAACCAAATAACCTCATAACACTACTCTAAACAAAGAGTTTTTAATTACTCCGTTTATCTCTAAACGACTAAACGAAACGCATTATACGGTCTTTGTTGGCCATGAATCACACTCATAGAGTACATTTTGTTTAATTTAATTAAAAAACAGTTTACTCCTGTTCTAATTCTGTAATTTTGTGTTATGAAAATGAAAATATGAATCATAAACTGTCAAATAGAGATGGGTAACTCAGGAGAGGTAGATACAAAAGATATGAATCAATCCGTTTCCATAAATCACTCTTTATATCAATCCGCATCCGAATGTATCACTGTATCTTTACAAATCATTCACTCAAGGCATCTTTTATCTAACATCTGTGTCGCACATTGCGCACGGTGCTTTATATTATACCTCGGCCGGCATAGCCGGCCATTCCAGGAAGATTTCCAAAAGTCCATAGTACAAACGTTTCTTTCGCACCTCATTATTTAGAATGTTCTGTCGCGGTTTCGCAAGACGGAGAGAGTGATTTGTTTGACCATTCTAAACTGTCATACGTCGGCACAAAAAGGTAAATTGATAACTCTATAACTGGTGCATAGGGCTTAAAGTCTCTCTACTAGTATTCATAATTTGCAACTCTGACATTTGATGAAGTATAAGTATGTATAAAAAAACGATATGGATATATGTAAATGATGCTGAAAATAATAATTAAAAAAATCACTGTACATAGCCACTGATTTCTAAATACGCCAACCTAAATTTTACTTAATAAATTTAACTACGTATAGGTGAGCCGTGAGCCGTGGTGGCTCAGATGGTTAGCGCTCGCCGTAAGCTTCACAGTACTCGAGCAACCCGGGTTCGTTCCCCGCCGGCGCCAATGAAATTGTTGATTGCAATTTTAAGTGCTGATTTACCACGTGCTCGGCGGTGAAGGAAAACATCGGGAGGATGTCTGAGAAATAAGAAAACTTTAATTTTTTTAATCATAACAAATAGATACCTAGAAAGAAACAGCAGCCAAATATATCAGAAAGATACACAATGTTACGACCAAGAAAAATGCAAACAGCTCTATTGGTACTTATCTATCGCTCTTACTGATAGGATTGAGTTGAGCGAAGCGAGCCACGCTCAGTGAGCAGCGCAATATAATGCAATGCGTGTCGTGCGCGCGAGCTTGATCTACTGATACATAAAAGTGTGATATATATCCCAGTGATCAAAAGATACATATCAATCTTTTCTTTAAAGTGATACACATTGCCCATGTCTACTGTCAAACAAATATATTTTTTTTGTCTATATGGCCCTTGGTATTGTGGTTATGTCACAATAATTCTGCCAATGTCCAGTCCACAGATAACTGTATACTAGTCAGAGTCCAGTTTAGGTAATATAACTATAAATTATAAGCATAATTAAATGGTTTTTATTTCTGTAATGTATGGGATAATCATAAAAACATTTTTTAAATTGAAAAACGAAAGCTAATGCTTTTACCATAGCAAACACAAAACGTTTTTAAAAAAATTATATATTTTCTCTATGGCATTAGATAATTAAGGCTATTTTTGTAATAAATAGCCTTGAGTATCAAAAAACTCATAATACTGACACATTGAGGCAAATCTGTAGAGATTAATACTGGATAAATAATTCTATTTAGAAAATCGGTTGAATAGGCTACGTTATTAAACTAAACAAAATATTTGAATAACAGCGGACACGATTGAATAGGCTGTATGGTCGTTGATCATTGCCTGTTTCAAAGAAGACAACTTGGTGGGTAACTTCGAGTCACAGAGTACCTTTGTATAAACTGATATTGAAATTATTGTATAACTTTGTATAAACTGCTTCGAGTTTAAACTTGTCATGCGCATTCAGCCGCAGGACCATTGATGGGCAAAGTGTATCATTTTTGCGATTGGAACATTTGCATCTCGATCGCTGAAATGTTCCGAAACACTGATATGTTTCATTTGGCTCATTAGGATCTTCGACTCAAAAGATATAAAATACAGAATGTTCCGAATACATTAAGTTGCGTTTATTACTGACTGATCAGTGTTATGCGGCAACAATAATGAATAATATAAGTGTTTAGGTTATTTATTGTGTACCGTAATAAGATTGTATGTAAAATCAATCCTCCTTCATACTTTAACAAAAATGTCACTATGTCAATTCATTATTTTCAATCAAAGTCTCATAACTCTAACTGTATGATGAAAAGGAAGAAAGTAAGTCGCAATAATCACTACGCAAAGAAATCCTAAACAGAACTCAGTATGTTTTCGTAAACAGACGCTAATGAACATAAACAATTTGACAAGTGCTGCATCAACGTAAAATGACAACTTGTAAATGCAAACATTACATACAAAAAACGACCGTATAGTATTTGACACGTAAGCGCCTTAGTGGCAATTTTTATGTGCATGAATAACGACAGCGATAATCCGTACGAGTTGGGTGATACACTTCTTATTTGTTTTCTCTGTCTGACTTGTGTGGATTATAATTATTTCGCCCGCTCACTCGCTACTCTCGAGTAAATAGTTAAGTTAATCATTTTGCAATTGCTCAAACAAAATGTAAAGGCTTGTTCAAATACTTTTAAATTCCATAGGGTACTGCCAAAAGATATCGTTAAATATTTTAAAACTATTGATGTTAAGAAAACGGCTGACTTATGGGGGATTTCCGTTAAAGTTATTTTATCTATAATAGATACATTAGCACCCTATCTAGCCACTATATTTAATATAAGCGTCGAATCTGGTGTGTTTCCTGATTTAATGAAACATAGTAAAGTCATACCTATATTTAAATCTGGTAGTACATTAGACCCCGCCAATTTTAGACCAATTTCTGTACTACCAACATTAAGTAAAATTTTTGAAAAAATTATTTTAGATCAGATGTTAAGTTTCTTCAATATTAATAAATTGCTACATAAAAATCAATTCGGTTTTACAAGGAGTCGCTCGACAACTGACGCTGGAGTTGAGCTTATTAAACATTTTTTGTGCATGGGAGAATTCAGAGGATGCTTTGGGTATATTTTGTGACCTTTCCAAGGCCTTCGACTGTGTTCACCATGAAATATTAATCAGGAAGCTACAGTACTATGGTGTCAAGAACACAGCGCTTAAACTTATTATTTCATATTTAAGTAATAGAAAACAGAAGGTTATTATCAATGGTAAAAGTTCTTCCGGGTCACCTGTACTAATGGGTGTTCCTCAGGGCTCGATTCTCGGCCCATTCCTGTTTCTGGTGTATATTAATGACTTACCTAACCTTGTAGGGGATAGTCATGATATAGTATTATTTGCTGATGATACTTCCTTGATTTTTAAACTTAAACGTCAATCATTTAAATGTGACGAAGTGAATAATGCTATATCAAAATTAGTGCATTGGTTTAACGTTAATAATCTGCATTTGAACGGAAATAAAACTAATTGTGTTAAATTTACAACAACGAATGTTAAAAATCTTAATACCAATGTGTTTTTAAATGGGGAGAAATTGGGCCGTGTTGTATCCACTGTTTTTCTTGGCATCACTCTAGACGCAAAGCTACAGTGGGGCCCCCATATATCCAAATTAGCAAGCAGACTAAGTTCTGCAGCCTATGCTGTAAAAAAGATTAGAGGTCTCACTAGTGTCGAGACAGCTAGATTAGTTTATTTTAGTTATTTTCATAGCATAATGTCTTATGGGATTTTGCTATGGAGAAATGCGGCTGATTCAGAAACTATTTTTGTTTTACAGAAGAGGGCCATTAGAGCTATTTACAATCTAAAACCGAGAGAGTCTCTTAGAGATAAATTTAAAGAAATTAATATATTAACTTTGGCCTCTCAGTATATTTACGAAAATTTAATGTGTGTTCACAAAAACAAAGATAGGTAGTTTTAGTAAAAGAAGTGATATACATTCTGTAAACACTAGGAACAAACACAAGCTAGTGATACCAGTTTCTCGACTCCACAGAGTCAGTAATTCATTCTTGGGGCAATGTATACGCTATTACAACAAGGTCCCGGAAAGTGTACAGGTTCTCTCTATTACCAAGTTTAAATGTTTTATTAAGCTGAAACTGTATAAAAAGGGTTATTATAGTATAAATGAATACATGGTTGATAATAACCCCTGGGAATGAGGTGATCGCTTCCAAGCAGTTTCTAAAATAAATTTTGTAAATAGTTCGTAATCATTTATATTGTAAAATTTATTTAAAAAAAAAGTCCCGCTGGGTTTCTTGCTGGTTCTTCCCAGGACAGAGGGTTTTTTCGAACCAATGGTAAAGTAAAAAACGACTTTCAATAAGAATTACACATGTAATGTATATTGAATAAAAAAAAAATATTCTATTCTATTCTATTCATTGTCTCCGTCTGTCTCTCTCGCTCGTGGCTCAGTCGCCTCGCAAGCGACGCGTCACGCGAAATGAGCAAAGAGCAAAGTAATGTTTCACTGTATCAAATCCAAATGATGCATTTGAAACGTTATTACTGAACCAATCTTTTGTATCACTTCAGTGATTCGGATCAGTGAGTCGGTTCCGTAAAGAGATACACACGCCTACGCAGGACCATAGCGTAGGACAGTTGCCGCGAACCACAAAAATTCAATGGATGGTGGCGCCATCCATAATTTGTTTCCAAAATAATTTTGTTTATAGTTGAT